CCCTTCCTCCCCTCTCCTCTCCCAGGCCTGGCAATGAGGTTGACTGAGGGATGCCTCTGTCCTGTTTTCAGAAAGGCATTTGTCACCCCAGAACAGCCAGGCAGGGGAGGCTTCTGCCCGCCATGTGAGCCCTCAATCAACTAGGAACTCCCTGGGGAAGGGGCTGCTCAGAGACTAGATTTCCTGCCATGATTTATGACCTAGGAAATTTATTTTGGAAAACCCAGTTCCTACATAAGTCCTGACCTTTGAAGCTAATTGACTTCACGGAGCTACAAATGAAAAAGGGCTTTAAACCTCACAAAGGCCTTATCTGTTGCTCAAATGCAGGGATCTGTCTCTTAATACTAAGGAGCAGGCTGAGTCCACCCCAGCCTGAGACACCTGCTTTCTAGAAATCTCTCTGAAGAATGAGCCTGTTTTGGGGCCACCTATGAACAAAAGACACCCATATCTAAAAGAAATGCTTCCAATAAAAGATGATGATGAGCCCAGCCGGCGTGGCTCAGTAGTTGAGAGTCGACCCATGAACCAGGAGGTCACGGTTCAATTCCTGCTCAGGGCACATGCCTGAGTTTTGGGCTCGGTCCCCAGCAGGGGGCGTGCAGGAGGCAGCAGATCGATGTTTCTCTCTCATCATTCATGTTTCTGTCTTTCTATCCCTCTCCCTTCCTCTCTCTGAAATCAATAAAAACATATTTTTAAAAAATGATGATGATGTAAACATATATTTATCTAGTCACACGGAAAGACAGTCATAATATGTTGTTTGATGAGAGACTTGGGTTTGGAATAGTATGTAGAGAGGGTGCCATTTTTGTGGTAAATGACCAGACCTGCATGCAATTATTTACATGTCTCTGCTTGCAGAGTAAATGTTAGCAAAGGCAATGACTAGAAAACTGCATTTTGTGTTAATTTTTTTCCGTTTCCCCTAATCTGTATTTTATAATTTTTCTAAATTACTGTACACTTTATAATTTAAAAATTATAACTGTATTTTACAATTTTTCTAAATTGAGCAAGTATTACTTATTTTAAAAAATCAAGGTAACTTTATGCCTGGCTGGCGTAACTTAGTGGTTGAGTGTCGNAGTATTACTTATTTTAAAAAATCAAGGTAACTTTATGCCTGGCTGGCGTAGCTTAGTGGTTGAGTGTCGACCCATGAACCAGGAGGTCACGGTTCAATTCCCAGTCAGGGCACATGCCTGAGTTTCCAGCTCGGTCCCCAGTAGGGGGCGTGCAGGAGGCAGCCGATCAATGATTCTCTCTCATCATTGATGTTTCTATCTCTCTCTCCCTCTCCCTTCCTCTCTCTGAAATCAATAAGCTTCCTATTAGATTAAAAAAAAAATCATGGTAACTTTAAACTGCTTATTTATCCCAAAGGCCATTTCAGTAACAATAAATATATAATGTGTGCATGTATATATAAAATAAAAATAACCAACGTCCTGCTACTCCAGAAACTACATTTTCATCTACAATCTACTTTCCTTTGGACTTGACTTCATCAGTTCAGGCAGGGTTGAGGCCAGGGGACAATTTTAAAATCAGCACCAGCTGGGAGGACTCTGCAGCAGCTCCAGACACCAGCCAGGGCTGGGGGCAGGAGGCACAGCCCTGGGAAGCAGCCTGCCATCCCTGTGTCCAAGGTGAATTTTACAAGCTTCCTACCTGGGCAAAGGTTATCCTGGCCTGTGGCTCACGCCCCTAAAATAAATCCCCACGCTCGGGTAATCTTCAGACTTTTCCTATGAGCAAAGCACTTAAAAGGTAAGGTGGAATGAAGCGCAGACAGATCCTCCTTCCAAACTTTCGAAAGCCAGCACAATATCCCACCCAGCCAGGCACCTACCTTGCAGTCCACGCTCAGCATGTGCTGGGCGATGACCTTGGGGTCGTTGCTGGTGAACAGTTCCTTTGCACGCTTCAGCATCGCTGTTTCTAGGGGCTTGTTCTCAGGAGGAAGGAGCTTCGACTCAAAGTCATTGGGTCTGAACGAGGAGGCAGTCTCCAGGAGGGGCGTCACGAACTGGCCCTTGTCATCCTGCCCCTTGTCCATTTGCGCTGCTGCCGGTGGCTCCCAAGGCCTTGCCCTGTCGTCGTCATCGAGGATCAAGTAGTTGGTGCCAGAGTTCCGGGGACCCAGTGCCCCATTCTGCTTGGCCTTCAGCAGCTCCACATAGCTGTCCTGGGTGCAGATGGGTGGCCTCGCTCCCCTGTCACAGCCTGTGGCCAAGGCTGGGTTCAGTTCACAGTAGTTGGCCTCTGACTTGAGCCAGGTGGACGGAGATGGGGGAGCCTTGAGGAGGGGTGCCTTGCAGGGCTTGGGGGGTGGCTTTGGGCACAGTTGGCTGTCTGAGCCCCTCAGCGCCTCTCCTGCCCTAGCGTCCGAGGAGACCCTCCGAACCACTGCCGGGCTCAGGGTGGGCTCACTGCCCGTCCTGAAAACAGGTGAGTTTGGGCAGGGGCCTGTGTCCACACCTGAGGATTGAGGGGGCATCTTACAGCCTGTGGAGGATAGGACAGGGTCAGAAAAAGCTCAGCTGTATGGAGAACACACAACAAACAAAACTAGAGTGATGGCGCCCTAGCTCTCAATTCATGCCCTTGGGCACGGATTTTCACCCTCAAAGGATAAAGCTGTATGACCACCCATGCCCAGTCTAGAGAAGTCTAAGGCATTTTGAAGGCTAAGTTGGCCGGATCCCACAGTTCTGGGGGAATTTAAATCCCACTGACTGCTGACAGCTGGGCTGCAATGTCATTTTATAGTTATAGAAAGTTAGGACAGTCAGAGTAGGAAAATACACTGAGTCTGGAGCAGTGAGTAATTTAATCTTGCCTAAGAAACACAAGTCTCTAGCCACACAGCATAAAGGGCCCTGAGTCACTCTCAGGGCGAGGGTGGATCTCAGCCAGCTCTCAGGGAGAGCTAGAGACACACGGGGAAGAGGGGGAAAGCCGTTGCAACAATCCACATAGTAGTTCAAGGGACATTAGGAACTCACCTTGTGGTCCCAAGGAAGGTCAGGTATAAAAATAATGAAAAACAACCTCATGGCTACTAATATAATTGCTCACTTGGTTTCCCCACATCCCACACCTTCTCACCCTTCTGGCAGTGAAAGAACGGAGAGGAAGAGGGGTGTCTGGACAGCTGCTCCACCAGGAGCCCCAGGATCTACCCGCCCACGCTCTGTCCTGGGAGTGGACTACAAGGTAGGCTCGTTTGTCATGAAGACCACTCGTCAGCGAATGGGCTTAGAATCAGAAAACCTGAGTTCAAATGCTGGCTTAGCCACTTACCTGATAGACACCTATGGGCAAGTTACTTAACCTCTGTGCCTCAGTTTCCTCAGCCTCGAAAAGAGAATAATCAGGCCCACCCTGGAAACTTGTTATGAGGCTTAAAAGCCAGCACGTAAAGCATCCAGCTCCGTGATTTGCATCTGGATATACTCCTACAAACCTCAGGCAGGCATAGAGCCCTATGTCTTTCCCAAAGTAGGTGATCAGACAGAGCAGAAAAAACAGCCTGAAGGAAATCAGGGGAGCACTGCCACCCTCCTCCCCCAAATCCCCAGTGACCTACCAATCGGCAGGTAGCTCTCCGACTGGTGGGCTTTGAGGGATAAGGCTCTTCGGTCCTGCATGTGATCCAGGCAGGCGGGCTGGCTGCCGCTCTTCTCTTTATTTCTGAAGCAAAAGACAAGTGGGGAAGAAACCTATCATTAAGTCAGAAAGCCTTTAGGCAACACCATAGAAAGATTGCTCAGGAGGAGAGCTACTGCATACCCTAACAGTCCAGGAATGTCTGCTGGTAGGGAACATTGCTGATGGGGGCGATTATGACATGACTGTGCTGTGGGCTCCATCCCCACATCCCCACCACCCATACAGTGAAGTCCTAGGATGCCTCCTCTGAGCCTTTCCAACCAGTTGATCAGATCAGGGTAAAGGTCTCAGAATATTCTCAGGAAAATCTGACACACTGAAGTGTGCAGTTTTAACAGAGCCTGAAATTACTAACAGACCCGGGAGGAATGATTTGTTTAAATACCTAGGACATAACAGTGTCACAGTTTCCATTTCAGTGCAAATCTCAGGTCCCCCAAGTAATCCACAGGACCACCTGGGGGCTGTCACACCCACCCTCCTGCATGTACTGGGGACCCACAGCCAGCCTCACCCCTGCTGAGCTGGGTAAAGGGAGGGGTGTGGTCACCTGTGATCACCAGGTGGCAGCTGGGAAGCACAGAGCACAGCCACACAGAGAAAAGGGGGGCTATAACTACAACACAATCAGCTGGCATTCCTCTGTCCTCTGCCCGTTCAGACAGGAATTTCTCTAATTAGCACTGAGGAACAGAATCTCTCTTTTGCTAGAAGAGAAAGCACTGTACCAAGTTATAATGAACTTTTATCGGCCCTCCCACAAGCTTATGTTACAGAAATCGCAGTTTTTTTCCTACCTTTGCAAGCACCAAAGAAAAAAAACAACGAACCAAATTAAAAAAAACAAAAAACACCCCCAACTCCCAGCAACAGGAATTCCAGCAACCCCTCAGAGATAAGGCAGGGCAGAGGGCAAATTCCACAAGGCAATGGCTTCTGAAAAGTGATACTGAGGCAGTGATCACCTGGAGCAGTGACTCCACGGGCCAGAACACCGAGCTGGAAGGCAGCCTGGCGCAGAGCGCACCTTTGCCCAGGCCGGCTGCCCGCCAGCCAACCGGTGGGCCCAGAGTCAGGGCCAGGGCAGGAGCCACGGAAGCGGGAAGGTGGGCAGGGCGCCGGGCCATCACTGACGTCGAGCCTACCCCACCCCCACGTTCAGACATTTCTGGGCCTGCTGCCTGTGCCCAGAGGTGGCAAAGCTTCGGGAGCTCAGCTTTCAAAGGGCAATCAGAGCAGGTGCTCTGTTAGGCCTGTCCCATTCACTTAGAGACTTTCTCAGTCTTTCTTTCATTTCTTATCTTAAAAAAGTAATTATATTTAATCTGGGTCCCTGAAGGCAGACCAGGAGGCCCTCCTCCCAGCACCACACTCAGCAGGGCTTCTGTGTGTTGACAAGTACGCTCTGGCCCTGTCATGACAGTAACTCCCTGTTTATCCGCTGAGCAGCCAACCCCAACTCCCAAAAGAAACAAAAAAAGTGTACCCAACCCTTTTACATTTTAAGGGATCTCAAGTCCGATCTTATTACTATGGGGAGGAGAATTTCTAAATGGCGTAGATAAAAGTTCTTCCTCCCTGCCCTGGCTGGGTGGCTTAATTGGTTGGAGCGTTGTCACATACACCAAAAGGGTTGAGGGTTCAATTCTGGGTCAGGGCACATACCTAGGTTTCGGGTTTGGTCCCGGGGTGGTGCGCGTACGGGAGGCAACCAATCGAGGTTTCTCTCTCACATGGATGTCTGTCTGTCTGTCTGTCTTTCTCTCTTTCTCTCCCTCTCTCTCCCCCTTCTTCTCTCTCTAAAATCAATAAAAACATATCCTCGGGTGAGGATTTTAAAAAGAAGTTCTTCCTCCCTTCCTGCAACTGCCCTCAGTCTTACATTCTACTGCCCTCCAGAAATAATAATTATGATTATTAACACTTACCTAGCAGTTATTATGTGCCAGCACTGTTCTAAGCACTTTGCATATCGTAACTCATTTAACCTTCACAAGCCCTGTCTTTCCAGATGAAGTGAGCCCAGAGCAGGCAAGTAGCCTGCCCAGGGTTGATCAGGTGAGTGGTGGACCAGCATTCGTGTCCAGGAGAGGGGTGGGGTGGGGGGGTACAGCCAGACACTGACTAACATCTACTGGAGCTTCCCAGTAGCACAGCTGTAATTTATATTATTCAGAATCCTG